TTATACAAGTTAAATGTATTGTCATTTTGAAGACTTCTAACAAATTTTGTGGATTTGGTTAATTCTAAGTTTAAACTCGTTGAACAAAAGTCTGGAATCGGAAATGATTTACATTTTGTAAATCATGTAAGGAATATTTTTTTATTTTTGTATTAAAATAAGAACCTAATTTTCAGATTTAATTTGAGAAAATTTTTCTTATTGCAAAAATTTTTATAATTAAACTTTAAATTTAATTGTATTTGCAATCAATTTACTATAAGAAAAATTTTCTAAAAAAAATATGTTAATATCTTAATTTTAATAGAAATAATTTCAATTTATACATGTTTCGGGTCATGTGATTCAGAGATTATACGAGTTAAATAGCTACCATGGGACAATTTTTTCGATGTAAAATCGACCCAACACTTTTCGCCATGGCTACAATAATAATGGTAATGTCATAAATCTCGTTTTATATAACATCTTACAAACATGAGAAATATAATTTATTTTTTGATTTTTTTATATTTATATACATATGTTTTTTAATTTTTTGGTTTTTTTGATTTTTTGTGGTGACCACCCTCCTCCGAGCGGTCTTCGAGACTCCTCTTCTTACCCGCAGAAGTCTCGAGGAGCTCTCCTCGGTGCGCGAGAAGTTTGCCGATGTAATCGGCAATAAACTTCTTTATTCGCGACCGAAGAGAGTCGGTCACCACGTACGCCCCCTCCTTCTGGCGGCGGAATTCTTTATCCACTACCAGGTGGGCCAGCTATATATGTAGAGATGGAAAAGAAGAGATATTATCATTAGCATTTAGGATAAAAATTATGAAAAATTCAAAATAAGAAAATTTTGTATTTTTATTTGTACTTACCCGCCTGGCGTGTTTTTTGAATTCCGCCACCTTAAACTCACCCTTCCAGCGGCTGCAACGATCTATCACCAACTTTTGCAGCTATTATCAAAATTAAAAATTACAAACAAGGTTAATAAAAAACAATGTATTATATGCAAAATAAATCCTTACCTCCTCCTTAAATGCTGCCTCGCTCATTACAGCCGCTGGCTCCTCCTTCGCCCCTCTTTCCTCTCCTTGGGGCTCTGGCTCCACAGCTACGTGCTGCGAAGCCATCACCCGCTCGATCACCGCATTGATCGACGCCACGCTATATCCCTCTAGCGTCTGCCGATCCTCCACAACCGGCTTCTCCCACTGCGTTTTGTTCGTGACCACATTATAATAATAGACTTGACCTTCATCCCCCACAACTTCGCGCCAATTCGGGTGTAATGACCCTGGTTGAATAATTTTTGGTACTTGTGGCAGCGAAGTAGGATCAGGTAATGATAACGTTGACTGCGGTGGTTGAGGTGGTGTAGTCAGAGTCGCTTGTGGTAACGATGATGAAGATGGTGTAGTTGCTTTATGAATATTATTAATTGCTGCTGTATCGGAACTTTCACCTTTACTCGGACTCCTTTGTTGATGACGCGTGACTAATT